TAATAACAGCGCCATGTGCCAATTCAGGTTGGGCCTGAATTAGCTGGTTTTAAAGCTCACCCCTTTTTACGCTTTGGGGCTGGTGCGTCCAGTGACGCTGTTTTACAGTCTGAGGCCTTCTCCCCACCCAGCCCAGCAAGCCCTCTCCCTCTTTTCTTTTTTCCATAACGTACCTTCCCGCAGGAGTGATTGTTGGAAGACAGCTCAGTGTGCTTTCATTTGCTTCCTTGCACTAAGATCTCCAAGAATTTTAGCTTGCCAGAGCGTCTGACTTCATGCTAATACTCTAGGAACCCTGGCAGGCTATGATGTCACAGGGTCTTGCTACTGGAAATAGGTGTGTGCATGTGTGTTTGTTTTTAGTGGAAGAGGGGAGTTGGAACAACAGTTTTGGAGCTTTTTGCTTGGGTTGCAGTAAGCTTCAGAAGTGGAGTAGAGGCATTTCTGGGTCCCCTAATGTCCAAAACTCCATGTTCCTATGTTTGGCGAAGTGCATATATCCGTTTTTTGCCTGCAATGCATAGGTTTGGATATATATTTACCCTTTTTATTCTCCCAGTATTTCAATTGTTAACTTGCTTTAGTTAGTGGGTTTATATTTTAACATTGGATGCTGGGCAGCTATTATTTTTATTTATGGATTGATTTGTTGTAAACCGTCCCGAGACATCTAAGTATGGGATGGTATAGAAAAGTTTTAAATAAATATAGGACTAGAAGCCGAGGAAGAGCACTGTGCAGAGTAACAGAGCTGTTTCATTTTTGGCAACGGGGACTGAAATGCCCATAGAAAAGGCTGTGCCCCACACTGTCTTGGTATGGGAGCCCAAAGCTCTCGGCTTTCGTCTTTAAAAATAGCCTGTTCCTAGAGCACTCGCCTGGGGCCTCGCCGCAGGTGCCGCACTTCCACCTCGAACTTCTGAACAGCTGTCCAGTTTGACCCTCTGGACTTGGAAGTACCCTGTAAGGTGTAGCCCAGGGCAGGGAGCAGACGCAGGTCTTTCTACGGGGTCCATCCTTTTCCCAAGGCCTTGTGTTTTCTTAGGCCCATCTTGGCATAATGTGATGATTGGCGTCATGTGGCCGGGGGGCCTTGGGCTGTTGCGGACGGAGGTCTTGCCCACGGTAGCAGCTTTGCCCACAGCAAGATCCTCAGTTGCGTGGGGCTTCCCTTGCGCAGGTGCAGCCGCTGCAGCCGGGTGGCACCTGTGGTCCCCGTGTCTTACGTCAGAGCTGTCTGCGCTGGCATAGGATGGGCGGAGGCTGGCGAGCGTGCCCCGTTGCTTCCCCACAGTCCCGTGGGTGATGCTGTGCCATCCATGTTGCACGACCGCCCCGCCAGCTGTTGGAGAAGATGTCGCACGATCTTCTCATGGTTCCTTAGCCTAAGCCCAAAATGCCTGTGCATCTCCCTGCTCTCCCATTTGTTAACGACCTCAGGTGTACTTTCTCCTCGTCAGCAGCTCTTCCAAGGAGGGAAGGAAGGGATGAGGTGTGATCGGCCTAGGAAGTTCAGGGGCGATTCTTCCGAGGGTGCTGCGTGCACGTTTGGTTTTCTTTGAATTTTATGCCAAGTTCCTGCCTCCCAAACAGCGAATCCGGCGTGCTGGGCAGGTGCTGCGGAGGGGAAGCTCCTGAAGCAGGCTGCGGAAAGGCCCCGCAACTCATAGCAAAATAAGCAGGGAGCCTCCACCTGCGTCAGTCCTTGGCCGAGCTGGCTGGGGCGTGCCTGGCACTTCCGGGGCACCTGGTCGTGGGCCCATCTGCAGAACGCCTCTGTGGTTCAGCTGGTTTTGGCCGGTAACGAGGAGAGGGCTGTTGCGTCCTGATTTTGGTCTTCCCAGGAGCAGCGGGACAGCAGTGTGTGAGATTAGGGTCCTTTTCCTTAAGCTAGCACCACCAGGCATGCTGGACTACAATTCCCAGCATGCCTCGGCCAGCCATGCAGGGGATTGCAGTCCAGCACACATGGGAGTGACTGGGGGATGCTGAACTGGATAAACTCGGACCCGGCAGAGGGGCCTGGCACAGGTGTATGTGCCCGTGGGGTTCCCTGGCTGAGCTTCAGCTCAGCCTCACATCTGGGCTGGTTTGCGCAGCCAGTTGTCTCAGATAATGCCACCTTAGTTCACTTCAGGCTCTGCCTTTTACGGGGTCCCAGGGTTACTCGGGACCACTCGGAGCATTAATGTGTTTGTGGAAGCTGCTCTTCCTGTTTCCCATGCCAGGCCATTTTAAGATGAATGGAGGGGAGTCTGTTGTGCCTGGTGGGACTGCATGTACTCTTACAAAATTCTAAACTTCGAAAGATGCTCCTCCACCAATGAAGCGAAGGGGGAACGAGAAGCCCGCCTTTCAGCTATGTGACTTAAAAGGAGGAGCCTTTTAAAGTCTGGATATAGCTATCTCGAGAGAACTGAAGGTCCTAGGGTGGCATGCATATCCTTTTCTGCTGTACTGCTGTTACTGGTTAAACGGGACTTGTAAGCTTTCCCCCACAGTGTTTCAAGAGCCTGTGAGACCTGTTTGACTGCTGGTGAAAGCATGAAAAGCACTGTGGGTGATGGTGTCTCTGTCGTGCCGCCGCCAGCTCTCCGGCAAGCGATGGCCCATCTCCTGAAATGCTCACATGGGAGAGTGTCTCTGGGAGGGCTTGGTGTCACTGTCCTTGGTTCCTTGTCCAGTTTTAATTGTGCACTTAATTCTCTTGACCAGCAGGGGAATCCTCCTGCACGCCTGCAGGAGTAATTTTGCAAAACACACTAAAGTTGTGGGTTCAGCTTTCAGAAGGGCGCTAGACAGGTTGTGGCCTTGGTGTCATCCGTGGGGAGTGGGGGGGCGTGGAGAGGCTGGACTCTACCCTCCAGCAAAACTGGGTGCACTGAGCCTCAAATAGCCACCCTGCAGGAGGCCTGGAAGGTTATCCCTGCCTTTATTTCATCCTGAAATGGGGATGGGGGGGGGGGGGCTGCCAATTGCACTGGGCCGGTGACAGGAGGGGGCCTGCTTAATCCCTTCCCCGTGAGCAGTTTTTGTAATCAAAATATCTTCAAGCTGCCTTTCCTTCTCAGTGGGAGCACATGGGGAGGGGCAGTTTTAATTAGAAAAATGGCCCATGGGGAAGGGGTTAAGCCCACCCCCCACTGCCGCCTGCTGCTCTGATCAGATTTGCAATTTTCCCTGCAGCTGCAAGCTATACTTGAGTGGTTTTTTTTAAAGTCTGGAGTTTGCAGATCTTCCCTTTCTTTTCCTCGGTGGTGTAAGAAACAAGCTGGTCCTCACTGGGCTGTAAGAGGCAAATGACGACTGGCTGGTCAGCCAGGAGGGGGGGGGCCCTTTCCGTGGGACTTTAGGGGGCTGGGGAGATGTCCTGCTGACCCGGTATATTCCGTGTGTGAACTGGCTGACACTTCACAATGGCTTTCGGGGCATTCCTCAGCATAGGAGGCAATCTCAGGAGAGCGCATGCTGGGCAAAGATATTATGGGTCAAGGGACATTTTTTAGAAAAATCCTGGGAAACCGTAGGGACTGCTACTTGCATGTAAGTTTTGCAGTATTGGGTTTGATGGGACAGCCGCATTTCATGCGGTAGATGTGATCGTTGCGTAGAAATCTCAGCGTTCATAAAGCCCTTCAGACTGTTGGAAAGCACCATGGTATCGCAATAATTGCAGTTATTTATTACATTTTTATATTGCCCCATAGCCCATGGGCTCTCTGGGCAGTGTGCAATTTAAAATTATATATACAATAAAATTATATTAAAAGAATAAAACCATTGACAACATTAACTAGGCAACAACATTGCAGTGTTAATAACTTGAACTCTTGGTACAGCAGCAAATAATAAAACCCAAGAGTCCTGTGTGACTCAGTAGTTAAAATGACCAGAGAATAAAAAGGCTTCACCTGGCACCAAAAGCATGACAAAGATGGTGCCAGGTGTACTGCTCTGGGTGCCACTGCAGAAAAGGCCTTTTTTCTAATTGTTACGTCCTAACCCCTTATTTCTTTAGGAGGCGGTTCACTGATAAGGATCTCAGCATTCAGTTTTAAAGGATGGGTAGAAATGTATGGAACAAGCCGTTCCTTCAGATAACCTATTTGTTTTTCAGCGCCAGGCCAAGACCTTTTTATTCAAACAGTATTTTAATGTTTAATATTTATAGGTTTTAATTGTGCAGCCAATGTGTTTTCGGGTTTTAATTGTAACTGTTATTATTTTGTATGTATTTATTTCTGTGAGCCGTCCCGAGGCTATGCAGCAAGGGGACGGCATGTAAAAACTTTAAATAATAAATAATAAATAAACCCGGCCCTAAGCCATTTGGGGCTTTAAACAAGCACTTTGAATTGGGACTGGATTTCAGCTGGCAGCCAGTGCAGCTGATGGGGGGCTGGGGTGGTGTGATCCCAGGGACCAGCCCTGCGAACCGCTGTGCCGCCCTATTCCGAATTAGCTGGAGTTTCTGGGCCGTTTTCTAGGGCAGCCCCATGTGGTTCTCACAGCCCGGATGAGAGGCTACCAGAGCATGGGCAGCCATGGGCAGACTCTCCACCTGTCCAGGTCGGAAGGTTGTTGGCAAATCAGCCTAAAGCAGATCAGAGGTACCGCTGGCCACTGGGTCCACCTGCAACTCCAGTGACAGTTCTGGGTCCAGGAGCACCCCCAACCCACGAACCTTGTCCTTTGGGGAGTGCAGCCCCATCCAGGACAGGGTGACAGTCTCCCAGCCTTCCCAGAACTGGTGCTTTGCAGCAATGAGGGCTAGTGGTCGGTGGTGGTTGTTGTTGTTGTTGTTATTATTATTAGAACATTTCTATGCCGCCCCTTGCCGAAGCCTCGGGGCGGCTTACAACACAATAAAATACAATACAATACAAAAATAACAATATAAAATTAAAATTAATAATATAAAATAAATAACAAAAATAATTGTAATCCAACATCTGGAGGGTGTTAGATCCGGGAAGGCTGCCTTGTTGGCACAACTCAGTGGGATCAGGCGGGTGGTAGCCCAGCTGGAGCTCTGGTGGACAGCCGTCACCCAGTGAGTCTGTGGTTGAAGTGAAGCCTAAACTAGGTGTGTGCTTTCTTGCTTTAAAACATGTCTTGAACACTGTCCGGGGCAGGAGTCCTCTCCGAGTGGTGTCTCGCGATGGATCATACATCAAAACTGATGGGGCGTTGAAACCAGAAAAGCAGCAGCAAACCCACTAAAATGGCGACCGTGGAAACGGACACTACCCAACGACAGCATCCCGGGGCTTGGGCTTTGCTTGAGGTCTCTGTCCTTTTCGCGATTCGGCGTGTGTCAGCTTCTGACTTGTGTGGCTGATGCTGAGGAAGGGGAGAGCTCCTTGCCGCCGAATTGTCTATTTGTTTCCCCAGCGAAGGACAGCGGTTACTTTGAGCCGGTCCGTGCTTTCACCAGCTCTCCTGGGAATGTAGCAAAGGGTTGGTCCCTCTTGTCCTGCGTGGTACGCTTCGTCCAAGGCAGCTGTGGTTCAGTCACACTGGGGTGTTTCTCCCCTCATTCTGCCTGGTGTTTCCTTAAAAAGCTGCTTCTGTGTGCGTGCGTGTGTGCCGGTTCGTTCATTGCCCAGCTCTGCCTCCATCTAAGGATAAGAGTAGCAACAAGAAGAGCTGTGCAGAATCAGGCCAATGAGCATCTGGCTGAATCTTGTGTTCGCACCCTGCATGGCCAGCCAGCTGCCTGCAGGATTTATCAAGCCGGGCAAGAGACGGCAGCACTCTCCTGCCCATGTGCCCCAGCAAGTGGTGTCCACGGGCCCCCCGCCTGTGATACTGAAGGTAGCACACAGCCGCCAGGACTGGTCGCTCTGGGCAGCCTCCTCTTGCATGAATTAGGCCAGCCTCCTTTCAGCTGTCCAAATCGGGGGCCACCCCATATCTCAAGGCAGTGAATTCCACAGTTTAGCTCTGTGTTGTGTGAAAAAGGCCTGCCTTGGATCTGTCCTGAATCCCTCTCTCCTTCAGATGACTCCATGTTCAAGTCCTGTGAGAGGAGACCCCCTCGCAATTCAGCACTTGGTGGGCATCTGTCGTGGCCCCGTTACCTTGCTTTTCCGGAGACAGATAATCCCGGTTGTTGTAGCCCTTCCGCGTTGGAGAGTTGCTCCAGCCCCAGTCCGGGCCGCTTTCTGTACTTTCTCCAGTCAGCATCGTGTTCAGGTTCAGGGACTAGTATTCGCAGTAGTGCTTGCACCGCAGTTCTGCATAAAGTGATTAAGACCTTGGCAATTCTGTGTTCGGCCCCTTCTCTGGTTTTGTCTAGCGTGGGGTTTGCCTGTTGCACAGTAGCTGCGTGCCGAGTCGGCGTTTTCATTGAGCCGTCCGCTCTCTCTTGGTCAGTCGCCGCTTGGTCAGTGCCCACCGGCTTGCAGTGGCCGCACTGGCCAGGCTGAGGCCCGTCCGCTCACTTCGGGAAGACCCTCAAAATCCCCTTATTTTAACCATCCTATATAATTGGGTTGTTACCAGCGCACCCGGCCATTTCACCACTCACTCCTAATTCCAGTTCATTTACAGAGAAGCTGAAAAGAAGTAGCTTCAGTACAAGTCCCTGTGGGAGCCCGGTGTTTACGTTCCCATTTAATTCTCCGTCGGTGTTCCTACTCTCTCTCTCCTTGCCGTTCTTTAACCAGTTACTGTTGATAAGGAGATACTTTTGAATATGAGAAATGCCCGGATGCTTATACTGCTTGGCTGAGCAAGCCCCCATCGGAGGCTGTGTTGCTTGGAGTGGGCGGGGGCTGGGTTGTTGCATGCTTAGGCCTCTTGCGTGTTGCGTGGCTGAGCCAGGTGGGGGAATGTTGTGCGGCTGGACTACTGATGGGACTGTTGCTTGGGGCCAGACAAGTGTGAGGAATAGGAGCACCTCCAGGTCTAAATTTGGAATGAGAGGCAGCTGCTCAAAGCTTGCTAGAGAGTAGTCTTAATTGTGCACATCTGCTTTTCAGCCCTTAAAATTCAGCAGTATGAGATGTCCTAATGATGATTAATTGAGACTGGCAAAATGCTTTAAGTTCAAAGGGGTAAGCTCTGCACAAGACCGAATGGAACCTCAGAATCCTGAGGGGCAGCTTTGCATTTCCTCCTCTGGCTTATATTCTAAGCTACCCTTGGGGCTTTCTTTTAGTGAATCTAAATCTTAGTATGTTTGAACTGGGCATACTGGTTTTGGCGCCCTTGTGGGCTTGGGTGGGAGGAAGAGCACAGTCATGTTGGCCCAACAAGGTTATGTTGTGTGCAGTCACTTTTGCCGTTGTGTGTGTGTGTTTATTACCCATAGCTGCCCTTAGGCACCTCATGGGAAGGCAGTTTCTAACAGAGAAGGATGCTCCCCTTGTTGGATCCGGGGCAGAGAGTGGTGATGGAGACAGCTTGTCGCAATCACTGGTGTGTGGCTGTCAGAAGAGAGAATCAGGGCCTGTACGTTTAGGCAGTTTGGGAATAACGGAGGGAGGCCCTGCCAAGGGTCCAAATGCTTTGCTGCGTACCTCAGGCGGTCCGTGCAAGTTGGCCTCTGCAGCTGGGAGGGGTCCACAGCGTTTGGATATTGTGCCGGCTGTATGCACAGGGTGGGCCCAGCGGTTGAACGGCAGCGGCTGGCTGCTCCCCAAATGACTGCAACGCTTCGTGAGGTGCCTAGCACAGGAATTGCGTGGAAAAGGAGAGCGCCTGAGCTGGGCGTTCATGGTTTCTGATTGTGATTATCCCTGTTTCTGGCTTGTTGGTGTATGTGAACCTGGAAAGTCTGGCTTGTTTACGGGTGACCCAGGCCAGCTAGTGAAAAGAGCTTGAGTAGAAGAGTCAGGTCGGACTTCCCCCAGAGAAGCCTGGACAGCTGCGGCCTGGTGTGGCTGGGTATCAAGTAATTCTATCCAGATCATCCCAGCTGTCCTGACACATCTCTGGGTACCAGATGTTGGAGCAGGCGCTTGCCTGCCTGAGATCCTGCTTGTGAGTTTCCAGGGGAAGACACAATTTGATGACGCTTCTGCAAGATTTTGGGGAGACAGGAATACTTTGAAGGGGTGAAGGCGACCCAAAGAGAAGAAGAGCGGTTTTGGAGCTGAGCAGTGCCGCTTCTGTATGTGTGCAGAACTGGATCGCCGTGTCGTCCAGGCTGTGGAGGGCAGGACCTTGAGAAGTTTTGGACTTTGTTCCAAGAAGCACGGCCAGTGGTCAGGAATGCTGGGAGTTGAAGTCCAAAATGTCTGGATATCCACTTCCTCCTCATCCCGATCTGGAGCATTACTGTCCAACCTAACCGGCTGGGTGTCTCCAAGGCAAAGATCTCGCTCAGCTCTGCTTTCAGCAGCAAGCAGCAGAAGCCGGGGCTGCTGGAAGGAAGTACTCGAACCTATGATTCCATGAAAACGAGCTGAAAACAAGATGGCCTTAAGGAAACCGCTGTGACAGCCGCGCATGAGGCTCTGTGCTGTGTGTGTGAAGAATTAGATTCTTGGGGTTCTGTTCAAGAGCTGTTGTGATACAAAAACGCTTTGGGCTTTGAGGACACCGGTTCCAAGTGCCAGAGCAGGCTGGCTTCGGTGTGCAGAGTTCTGCTTAATTTTGTTTACGAGAACTCCAAGCTGCACCGAGTTGCGTCTGGGGCAGGAAAACAGACGCTTAGAATTAAACCCTCTGAATCCCAGGAACTGGTTTTGAGTACCAAAACAAAATGGGGCTCTCAGTCTTTCCACACACAAGTCAAGTTCTGGTTATGCAAAACTTTCTTTATTTCAGCCGTGCAATTCAGGCTTGGGGTGTTTCTGCTGTTGTTGAAAAGCTGCGAGTCAGAAATCCTTGCCAGTCTGTTGCAAATCACTCAGATCCACCAGTGGAACCAGATGCACTTTCCGTCCACTCCAGCTCAGGGCACAATCCAGTATTGTCCTTTAACCTCACTGGTGCGCAAAATTACAGAGCGCTGCCCTCCCATTTCTCTTCATTTCTTCATGGCAGCCCCCGAAAGACAGCCCGGATCAATCTTACAGCACTTCACTTCTTTAAAAAATGCACACTGGTCTTCTCCCTCCTCCCCCAAATCAGCCCACAGAAACTGAAATCGGCAGCTGCTTTCTCTGAAAATAACATGTCTATTGTCTCATGTGTGGCTTCAGATTTGGCATGATCGTTGCTTCGGAGAGGTTGCTTTCAACAGGTTATTTGAGGGCAAAGGAATGTCTTAGCCTTACCAAGAATTAAGCTTGCGCCTTCGCTTATGTGCCGTTTTCTCCTGGAGGCAGTTTGCTGTGGCGAGGACATTATGTACTTCAAGTTCTCCTTTGTGCATAAGGGCTAAAGTTGACTCTCAAATCCTTTGGGGATTTTGATAGCTCTCTCGCAGAAACCCCATCAGACCATGAAATGTGTTTGCTGCAACACAAGGTAGAAGTCATGTCCTGGTTTAAAGTGGAAGCTTTGCCTTCGGCATCTTCTACCTGTGCCTTCTTAAGAAATGCAGTCTCTGAGCATGGGCAGAGTGGGTTGCCCTGACAGTGACTTACCTCCCTTACCCAGGAACCAGATGTGCCCATAGATGCCCCGTGCAAACCCACTATCTGGCGCAGGGAGTTGCTTCCTGAATATCCCTGCTTCCATTTCCGTTGAAATTTAAAGCGAGTTGCTACCATTCTAGCCAACGAGCAGTTTGGGAAATTCTCTGGCAGCCCTCTGAAGGTTGTGGGGCACACCATTTAGGGTGCGTGGGATTCCCCTGGAACTCCTAGAGAGCCTTCCAGCCCAGGATTGCTGGAATCTCTTGCAGTTTTGCAGCCCTTTGTTCAACACCTCACAGATTAAAACTAGCACCTTGAATGGGATTCAGCAAACAGGAATGCTGGCACAAATGCCGGAACACCAGCAAAGGGTGCTGTCAGTGACCTACCTAGGCCAGGACAAAATGATAAAAATGTGCTCGTATTTTTCAGGAAGTCACACTCTTAGATGTTTTATGCTCCCATTGTGCTCTGTGAATACGGCCTTTGATCTAAAGTACCGTTCATGTGAGTGTGTGTGTGGGGGGGAATGTTCTTGTTTCTCATTGGCCTCTTGCCTGCCACTCTGCCCCCCCCCAAAAAAAAAGCTGGGGGGAAGGTTAGTATCCCTTGAGCTGCTGTTCACAGAGGCAGCTTCAGAGCAAAGTCAAGATATCTGCCTTTCAGTCACAGCCAGACTAGCACCTCTTCTGTCTTCAGCAAACTCGTTAGTGCTGGTGCATTTGACTTTTGTTCAAGAAGCCACTTCCTCCAGGGTTTGAAACCTGCTTCAGCATTTCAAGCAGGAATGCCAGTTCGCACGACTTGGTTCTTGAAAGAAAGCCATCTTTCCAGGTTTTTTCCCATGCTGGCACTTGTGGGGCTTCTTCAATAGAGCTGGGAGAACCGAAGCCACTGATGCGGCTAGATGCTATGCTGGCCTTCATTGTGGATTATTTTACCCAAGTCAGCCTGTCATGCTTATGGGCAACCTCTTTCATTATCCTCTATTTCTACACTGCCCAGTAGCCAAAGCTTTCTGGGCAGTTCACAGTCATTTCAGGGGTTGGCATGTCATGCAGACCTGGCGAGCTGGGCTTGTATTATGGTTAAACAGACCTCACATAGCCCAACCTAACCCACGCTTGCTGGGTTTGCATGATATTGCCCCCAAACTGGGGTTGTGTATTCAAAATACTGCATGCACTTCACTGTAGGTTAGTTACATAGTCCGTGAGTTGGTGGTGTTTCATGTCAACAGGCCCGCTGGGTTCTGCTTCGGCTTGACTCAGGGCCGGCTTGTGGGGTTATATCCAGATTGCAGATGGACCCTGCAGTGAGGCGGAGCTGATGCAGGAAAGTGTCCCGGCTTGTGCTTCTCCCTTCTCAGCAACCTGGGCGTGCATGTGCACTCCTGCAGGCTAGTGAGAGCACTGTGGTCTAGTAACTTGAAGGAATTGTTCAAAGTCACTTTAGGTTGTAGTTTGTTCTCCCTTATGGGAGTATGGCAAATCTTGTATAATCCCCAGGCCCCATCGTAACCCAGATACAGTGTCTGTATGAGACAGATGTTTTTCTTCCTATGTTTCCTTATCTCTTCCCTTTTTCTGTCTCCCTTTATCTAATTTTTGATTGTAAGCCACTCAGGACAGAGACCTGTAAGCCTGTAAAGTGCCAGGTGCATAGATATACAAGTCAGAGAATGCAATCAATAGAAATAAATTTCCAAGTTAGAGGCTTTTATATCTTGACTTATGTTTTGCCTGCAGGATGTGGCAGACGCTTTGTTCTGCTTAAAGCACTGAAAATAACTTTGAATGTGTTTTGAATGGGCTCCATTGATGGAAGGATTATTTCAGACTCGCCTGCAAAGTATTCTAACGATTCCAGGTCTTAGTCATTCCTGGCTTGCTGGGGTTCTCGGGAGGCACATAAAACCTTCAGTGCGTAAAATGTTTCCTTTACTTTGCCTTCAGTATTGAAAGTAAACATGAAGTCACGATCCTAGGAGGACTCAACGAATTTGTAGTCAAGTTCTATGGACCACAAGGAAGTAAGTGTGCCATTCCCCCCCCCCCCACTCCTTGGCAGTGCTGATGGAGCGAGTACTGAAAAGATGTTAAAAGGAAATTACTGTGTATTAGTTTGCCAGCGAAAAGCGAGCACTGAGGAAGAAGATGTGGTTGTACGTGGCACATGCCCCATGTGTCTTCTGAAACAAAACTCCTTGGCCAGCATTAGGGTGCCAACTCAGGTGTGTTGCCTACCGCTCCTGGCATCCCCCAGCCAGCAGGTGCCAGCGGGATGGGGTTGGTTGCACAAATTCATCCTCTGATTCGCAGCAGCTCCTGAGCCCTTGGGCAGAGAGATGCCTTCTGCAGGCCTTGCATCCTTTCAACCGGAGATGCCAGGACGTGAAGCTGAGGTCCCCTGTAGATGAGGTGTGTTCCTACCGTGGAGCAGTGGTGCCTCCCTGGAGAAAGGCCTTCACCGGCTTTGCTTTTTGCCAGAGCTGTTGGAGGAGGGTCTTAGCAGCTGTCCAGATCACCAAAGCGGTCTCCTTTATGGACCGGGCTGGAAATGTGCTGGGCTGCTTGGTGAGGGAAAGCAGCAAGAACAGACTAAAAAAGAAGTCGATGTTGGACATCTCTGAATGAAGGCAGTCTTTTAAATGCAGAGGTTTCCCCCCAGTCTTGCCTCTCATGTAAGATGGATGCTTCTGCTCATACGGTTTTCTTATTAAGCCCTGCAAATGTACTACAGCTTTGCTTGAAGTCCCTTCCTCCTTGGCCAAGATGGAAGCCAAGCAGGTTGGTTGCTGGCCTATTCAACTGCCTGGAGGAAATTTCATGTACTTCCCTGCCTAGAACTCCTAATCGGTGGTGACCAGCTCAGCAGATAAATGCAAGTCTGCTGTAAGATAAGAGGAATATGCATGTAGCGTGTAGGTTTCTCTTTCCTGTTCTGTTGTTTTTATGCTCATGCAAAATTAAAACTAGGACAGTAGAGCCTCAAATAATTTTGGTAATCTTTCTGAGGCTCAAGCCATAATTACTTTTCCTCTTCACAGGTAAGCTTGGATACATCCAGGTTCAGCCCAGTTCTTTTTTCTTTTTCTTTAAACTGGGATGACCTTGGCTTTCCAGTGCATGCATATTCAGGGAGAGAGACATGTAAATATTCTCCCGTCATCTATTCCCAAAGGGATAATGGTGGCAGATTTAAAAAGGGGGCACAGCTCAAGTTTCATCTGAGTGGACTCCTACAGTAGTTCTGGACCTTTATGGGCTGGGTTGCTTGCTTAGCTCAGTCCTTCCAAGTGGGTGGCCACCAGATGAATCTGAGTTTGAAGGGCAGCAAAGACTGAATTAGGGTAGCAAATCTGGACACCGGTGCTGGTGGGAAGAGTGCTCTTCTGAGCAGGGTTGCTTTCAGCTACAGGGTTGTCCAAGAAGCCAGGGTGACCGCTCAGAGAAGCCCTCCTGCACAAGTCCCATCAGAAAGGGTGGTCTTGTCGCACTCCAGTGCATTCTGATGGGGCTCCCAAATTAGAATTTCCTCGTGGGCAGGTGCTGCCTTTGGCCCTTTGCATGCTTGTCTTAGAGGCCCCCCTGAGCAATCTGTTCTGGCAAATTTTGTGTGTGGGCGGTTCTTATTTTTTGGGGGTGTTGCACAACTAATACCCTGTTCCCTCCTTGATTGCAGCACCGTACGAAGGTGGCGTGTGGAAAGTTAGGGTGGACCTTCCGGACAAATACCCCTTCAAATCCCCATCAATAGGTAATGAACCCCAAACTATCCATTCTCATTTGTTTGCTTCCTGTAAAAGTGTTCAGACTTGCGGATAACACTGCTGGTAGGGATGTTTGCTTTGGTTTGTAAGAGGAGGAGAAGGAGTGGAGAAATACCCTGTAAGTTTGAGAAATGTGCGTGCGCTTTCTCCAAATAGATGTGGGACACCTCCCACGGCCGCAGCTCCCATTTACTTCTGTGGAAAAATGTAATATGGTGTGTGGCTGCCCCCTACAGGGCGAGGAGGTGCACCACACCGGAAGAAACCGGGCTGATCGGATGAGGAAAGCCACTGATGGGTTTTCCGTATTTCTGGAATACTCTCATATGTAGGTTGCATTTTTTCTCGCTACCCCCCACTTTTTTTTGGATGTGGGGCAGGGTGCAGAGGGGCAGGCCTGCCTTTCAAAACCTGGTCCTGACGTGAGCGGCAAGGAGGGGAGATGGCCTGGCTTTCCCTCCATCCGGAAGATGCTGGACAGCTTTTGTCCTCAAGTGGTTGCTCTCACTTTTCTCCCCAAGGACTAGTTAGGGCAGTTTCCCCCCACTTCATATAAGTTTCCATTGCACTGGATTGAAACTCCCATCATCCCCAGCTGGGACAGCCAGCAGGCCCAGAGCATCTGCGGAGCTGCTCTAGTGGGGAAGGCTGCTGCATGGGAGACAAGAAAGCGGACACGGGCTGGAGCCTGAGGGCTGCTCTTGAGCCACGGCACTGCAGTGACGGAGGCGCTGCCTGCCACTTCCCAGCCGGGTCCAGGCTGTGCTGCGGCGCGATGGATTCGCTCTCATTTCTTTTCATAAAAATAGATGCGATTTTCAGCAGACTCGGTGGAGGTGGAAAACGCGCCTCGGTTGTGGTACATCCCATGTTGTGTGCGGTTTCTAAATTGAGGCTTTTGTTCAGCATTGTCAGTAAGCCTTTGTCTTAAACTAAAACTGGGGGAGGAGACAACGCAGGGCGAAACTTAAACCTCCTTGCTCAGAGTCTTGGGAAGGCGCCTGCACACTCGGCGTTGACTCAGCACTCTGCCGCGAAGTGCAGGCTGCTAGCACAGCCCACGGAGGCTCTCGCGGGGAGCAGCAGCTGCCCGGGGCCAAACCGGTGTGGGGCGTGATGACGCCCTACGTGGCTTGAACAGGATGGGCCTCTTCGGCTCCAGCATCTCGGTTTTGAGTCAGCAGGCTGCGGCGGCTTGTGCGGCTTAAAATAGACTTTTGCGTAGTATCTATTTCCAGACTGTCTGTCTCTTAGGCTTCCTTGGTTTGCTTTTGAGGCACCGTTAGTGCCCCGTGCGCACCGTTGCCCTGCAGTATGTGTCCGACCTGCATCCCAGGCCATCTCAGCTGTCACCGAGTGGCCGGAAAGCCTTCTGGGCGCGCTCAGTTTCTTCAGAGATGAAACAACCACGGCAGGTCTGGCGGTGTATCCACCTGTCGACAAGCCAACTGTTGCTTACCCTGAAAACCGCAAATCCCAAATCGTAATAGCGTTCGGCATTAGCTCCCCCAATAAAGCCTCGTATGCATGCCACGCATCCCAGTCTTGAAGGGTTTGAGCTGTAATTAGAGCAGCTGCTTCTCAGATGTTTGCTTTGATCGTCTTCTTTTAATACGTCCAGCATTCAGGTCATGGTGATGACGCTGCAAAATGCCAGAGCTCCTCCATTAAGCTTTCCCATCGTGTGCCTGCCTCTGGGGGGTGGTTGGTGCATCCCGGCTGGCTCGGTATGTCTTGTTCATCCATGGAAGCACAAGGGACATCTCAGGTCTTCAGCGCGACACAGCCCGCACTTCAACGGTCTGGCCATGTTCTTGCCGGCAAACACATGTATACACTGGTCTGGCCACTGATCAGTGTATGGAGAGGCAAGTCATCTCTGGTGGGGGCAGCCTAGGCACCACTGCTCTCCCTTCACACACACACACACACCCACCCGGCCTCTTGGGCCCTGGAGGGCTGGGAAAGCCTTCTGTGCGGGTTCAGGCACAGCAGCTGCCTCAGGGAGAAAGCTCTTCCTTGCCTTCTGTCCACCCATCTTCCCGTCCCAGAGCTGCTACTGCCGCTACTGCCTTGGGTCCTTTTGCCCCCTGGAAGTTGCCAGGCGAGAGCCACAGAAGCGTGGGAATTCTGAAATGCAGATCTGTGTGCCTTGAGAGCAGCTTTGGGTAGAGAGGTCAGAGCAAAATATGTCAGTGGCTGGAGGTATTCTGCAAGGAGAGAAGGCTGAGGAGATGTTTTGGGTGTGGAGCCCAGAGCTTTGGAATTTTGATCTCCACCCTAGTTTGGCCTGTTCTTTGTAGAAATAGCGTTGTGGTGAGTTAACGTGGCTTGCCTCATTCTCCAGAGCAGTAAAGTGAGACCAGAATAAAACAGGGGCAGTGAGGACCAAGGCTGCTTCAGCCGTTTGTAATGCAGGGCTGCTCTCCTCAGTGAGAACATCTTCAAGGAGCTGGGCATTCCAGGGCAATGGGATTCGTTCATGTAGTCATTTCATTTCTCTACCTCTCTGGGTGGTTAACCAAGTTAAAAGGAACATATTAGACAAAAAGAACAGGACACCATAACAATAGAACAATACAACCTATCAGACATCAGCAGTAAAAATAAGCCCCCAGCAATCGCATGGAGTTGGCACAGAGGTACAGCAGCAATACACGATAAAGTACAGTATTAAAACTAAAGCTGCTGGTTAAGTTACCTGGGAAATAAAAAGGTTTTGCCCTGGTGCTGAGAACAAGAGTAGACACCGGGAGTACCTCTTTTGGGGGCTCATTTCATAAATTGGGTGCCGCAGCCAAGAGGACCTTTCTCATCTCTATTAATGATTTAGATGAGGAAGTACAAGGAATGATAAACAAATATGCAGATGATACAAAACTGGGTGGGATCGCAAACTCCCTGGAAGAAGAAAGAAGATCCAGGGCGATCTTGATGCACCTGAACTCTGGGCTGAAACCAGCAGAATGAGATTCGATAAGGACAAGAGCCAAGTCCTCCACCGAGGAAGAAGAAACCAAAGGCATCGATACGAGATGGGGTTACGTGGCTCCACAGAACGGAACAAGAAAAAAAGTTCTTGGAGTAATTGTGGACAGTAGGCTAAACATGAGCCAGCAATGCAATACAGCTGCCAAAAGGACAAATGCTATTTTGGGATGCGTTAACAGAAGAATTACTTCCAAATCATGAGAAGTAGTATTTCCCCTATAGTCCTCCCTAGTCAGACCTCACCTGGAATACTTGTCCAGTTCTGGGCACCAAGATTTAAGAAAGATGCAGGAAAATTAAGAAAGGGTCCACAGGAGGGCAACGAGAATGATCCAGGGTTTGGAAGCACTGCCCTGTGAGAAGAGACTGAGAGAAATAGGTAGGCATGCTCAGCCTTGAGAAGTGAAGGCTGAGGGGGACATGGTATCACTCTGTATGTACCTCAAAGGTTGTCACAAAGAGGAAGGTCAAGATCTCTTCTTGCTGATGCCAGAGTGTAGGACATGGAATAATTAGTTCAAGTTGTGACAACCCAGATTCAGGCTGGACATCAGGAAAAGCTTCCTCACTGTCAGAGAAATACGACAGCCCAGAGAGGTCGTGGGCTCTCCCACACTAGAGATCTTGAAGAAGAAATTGGACAGTCATCTGAGTGGGATGGTGTAAACTGGTGTCCTGCAACAGCAGGGGGTTGGACCCGATGGCCTTTGTGGCCCCCTCCAACTCTAATATTCTATATTTCTATGGTTCTGTGGTCACCATCTTCATTATTTCCATGGGAGGGTGCTCCCTAAGAGGGACCCCGAAAGATGATCTTGGGGCCAGGTAGGTACATGCGGGACAAGGTGTTCCTTCACACGCCCTGACCCCAAGCCATTTAGCACTTCAAATTTTGATACTGGCACTCTGAATTGGGCTCAGACTTCAGCTGGCAACCAGTGCAGCTGAACGAGGATGGGCAAGGTGCGATCTCGTGGGCTGGTCTCCGTCTTCAGTGAAGTGTCCAAGCTGAGTGCAACTCCGAAGGCTGGCCTCAAGGAGTTGCACCTATTTTTGCTGTCCCGATCTGGCATATGTCAGTAACATTTTAGAATATGTTCCTGGGAACAGGAGTATCTTGGATGGAGTGGGCAAAGAGAATGGGATGAAGCGGGAGGCTAAAAATAGTAGTTTGACAAGGGAACCAGTTACCTTGGGAATGGGGCCTCGCTGGGGGTTTCCAACAGAGTTTGGAAAGTCATCCGGGCATGCTCTGTGTCTGAATTTCCTGCCTCGAGCAGAGGATTGGGCTCCATGGAAAAAGCACCCTCCCTCCAACGCCAGGGAATGGTTTTGTGGTTCACAGGTGCAGGGAAGGCAGTCTGAACAGAGTTAAGCAGTAAAGAGTGGAATTTGTGTTTCCTTTAGGGTAATTTAGCCTCCTATATCTGTGAAGGGACTGCAGGTGGCGCAGTGGGTTAAACCGCTGTGCTGCTGGGCTGGTTGATCGAAAGGTCGCTGGTTCGAATCTGCACAACGGGGTGAGTTCCCATTGCTCCGTCCCAGCTCCTGCTGACCTTGCAGTTCGAAAGCATGCAAATGCAAGTAGGTTCCGTGCACTTCGGTGTTTAGTCATGCCGGCCACACGACCACGGAGACTGTCTGCGAGCGAACGCCGGCTCCCTCGGCCAGGAAATGGAGATGAGCACCGCCACTGAGAGTCAGGCATGACTGGACTTAATGTCAAGGGGAAACCGTTACTTTACCTTTACCTGTGAAGCAGCATTTTATCCAGGGCTGTGTAAGTTTCTGAGGATGGTGGCTACAGAGTTCTTTGAAAAGGGCTCCTTGAAAATGGCTGCTGGGTTTGGAAAAGCCTGAGCAGCGGCTGAATGAGATTCAGAATGTGGCCTTACCCCTCCCATGACTAGCAGAGCCTGGAATCATGATGGGAATAATAAAAGTTTAGAGAGATAAGGAGTGCACAAAAGAAAATGATGTGCATCTTTGAAAAAAG